AATAATTGGAGCTTGTGGACAATTAAGTTTACAATAACGGATCACATATCGAGAATAGTTATGGCGATTCTGCCGTCGAAAGCGCCCGTTAGAAAAATAAATCATGCAAGTCATGACAAGACTAGTGTCACAAACGGTCCTAATATAGACATCAAACAACATTTACAATACAGAAATGTTAGGGGTACTTACACTGCCTGTGTTGATTCCTATAAATATGAAAGCGAAAAAAAGAACCTCGTACTCCATTGTACAGACTGTACGACGAGTAATGTGTCTTTACAAATCAGGAAATTTGACCCCCTTTATCTTTTAAAAAAATTCAGGTGTTGCGTAACTTTAGTACCCTTTTTTTAGTTAAACAAACTCTTCTCAAATTTAATGCCAGTATATTCGAGGTTTTTTCCCTAAATGTGACGAATTTATTCAAGGGGTGGGGTAAGGGGAAGTTAAATGGAAGAGGAGGAAAGCTTGATCTATTTTGATCGAGGATGAGCAACCAATAATCAACGATGAGATGAGGATGAGGACAATTCTAGCAGATGATTTCGGAGTAGGAAAGACGGTTCACCATTCATTTTCAAGGGGGGAAGGGGAAAGGAAAGGGGTTGACCTGTTGAACTACTCATGCGCAATGCGCAAGAATAATAAAAGAAGAAAGTCAAGCTGATCAAAACGCAAAAGAAAGAGATTTTCAACGACGTTGCAAAGAAATAAAAGTGAAAATGAATATTGCGCCCAGAAAATTGCCCTAGCCTCCCCTCCCCCATTTTCTAGACGGGGTACGTAAAGGAAATTATGGGATGACAATAATTGATGGAAGTAAAATTTAAGTAATTTATTTTTTATGAAGTCTAATCTTGGTTTGTCTCCAGTTACAACCAATATTTAGAGGACTAAGTTTTATGAAGTACCACCGAGTACCACCGAGTACCACCTCTATCAGTCTAAAGGGGTGAGAGCGCATTTGTGACAAGACCGAAAGTGATGACGGCTGCGAAGGAAACCGCAGAAAGCGCTGAAATAATAAACTGAAGAGAGTCTTTTTTGGGGGGATCTTAAAAATCTCCACAGATAGAAAGCAGCTTGGCCCCAAAGGCATAGCAATAAAGGATAATTTAAAAATTAAGAAATATAAGCAGAAAGCGGAAGTGATACATATTAGCAGACAATTAGGTGTATAGAACGCTGATCAACCGCATTACATTCCTTATCCTTATCTGTCAATTCCCTTAGTTTTTTCGGGTTGGATTCAGTCTTTAGAGGCGTCTAAAGTCTATTTTATGATTGCTGTAATATTGAGTATCGAGCATCCACCAGGGGGTGCTACGGGATTATTCATACTCCATACGTCTAATCCATACGCTACCCCCCCCCCCCCCCCTTCTAGGAGAAATGGCCGCCGGCCACAAGAAGCTTCCTGTTGAGCGCAACTTTAATACTTCTCACAAATTTCCGATTCCATTATTTATCATTATTCCTAAAAACATGGGCCAACGTCGGAAAAAGTTGCTGCACGCAAACGAAGTAAAAGAATGTTAACTGAGAGCAGTTTTCCCTCGCATTTCATTCGTGACAGCTTCTCCTATGTCCTAAGTACTTCCATATATGGCTGATCCAAACATTACAAAGACACCATCACTAAAAGGATTTTTGGGACCAGTTGAGCAACTTTCGTTTCAGGAAGGCATTGAGTGTCCAACTCAACGCCTTAATTAAAAAATGAGTGTCATTTAAGAATGATTTTGACATTAATCAGATTATTATTTTTATTCATAATTTTGTTTCTGTGGATTACATAAAAAAAAAAACTGTATTAATTGCTACCACTGATATTTTACATGATAAAAAGTTAACTTTTTTCATGTTGATACCTAATTTTGATAAAAAGTGTTTGTTTTAATTACTTGATGGAATAGTTTGATTGCTGAAAAGTCTGATTCGCAAAATTTTTGCTGCACATGCAAAGTTTTGGATTTCAAAACATATCCCAACTGTATCCAAGGGCAATCACAGTTGAGTGTATTAAAGCACAATGGCAACTAAAAAAATATGTTTTGTCTTTGAATGCTGGTTATCATGAAGAATTGGATTAATGGGAATGGTAATTTAGCAGTCAACATTCTCCAGGTTGGCTCTTTCTGTTCATTGTTTCCAGGTCTAATTGGAATGTGGAATGTTGAATTACAGAAGACATTGAGACATAATTTCTATTTCTGATTTAGCCCATGAAATCAAAATACTGCCATATCACAACATAGTTAACTTCAGTCTCACTCCAAATCAAAGGTTTGGCAACTAAGTACACAACTGTAAAACGGCCTAATATGGAATTTTCATACACTTGTTCAAAGAATTGCCGCCCTTCCTTGAACTGGAGTAGCAGCTTCACACTCTGCAACTTAAGAGGACAGAAAGTTGATTTAAAATTTACACAGCAAAACATGCAGTCCGTTGCTTTGCAAA